ACCAATCAGTCATGTCACATTTACTACAATTCTCCCAGATAGCATATAAACACAACACCTTATCCTCAAATGTCACTCTGAACAAGGCAGCTGCTGCTCATTTCATCTTTATTTGTTCATTATGAACACTGCCTAAATCATCTATAAAAGAAAGACATCATGATGTTTTAAAAAGTTCTAATCTTTCCATTAAATCCCCTGCAAGTTAAAACTGTAGTTGAACATTTCAAGTATAGATCTTATTTTAATGTAATGTGAACATTTGTTGCAGGTAAAATAATAAATTCTAAACTTCAAATCTTACTTTAGATTTTACCCTCCTCTTCCTCACACACACACACACACACTTGTAATTTTTATTTTGGGAATGGAAATGTCTAAACTTCTTACCTGTGCAGATAAACTTTCCAACATGAAAATAAAAAAAAGCTTCAAATCTGTAGTCCTTTTATGTGTTTGTTACTGTTTGTAACTCATATTGTTTGAGGATATTGAATTTAAGTTCATAGTACCAAAAACACTAAAATTCAACTGACAACATTTTTTATTTTACAACTTCCAAGCTTATAAACTAAAAACAATCATAGATATATTGTCTGAAAGCTAAGATTATTTTCTTTTGCACAGTTTTATTTGTCATAGAGTAGTTATGTCAGATGCTTTTCATAATTGCATGCCTTCAGATAATCTAATTATATTGTTACGTCTCCGTTCGTTAGTTAATTTTCCGTAAAAATTCTTACTGAAGAAACTTTACCGATAGAAGTCCTTTCTTAAATAAAACTGGTTTATTCTTTCTGAATATAACTTTGCGATACACTTAATTTCAACAGTCGCGCTATAACAAACGCTATAATTCTCAACGAACGTTTCACGTGCTCGACTCAACAATACTCAGTTCAATTACACACATTACCTCATTTTGTTTCTTGGCCGGTCTTATATATACAAGACTACCCCAATCTAGTAGTCTCCCGACATTTCATGAAGGTTCGAAAAGGAAGTGGCGTGATACAAGCGTCACGTGACCTGCGTTGTCGTAACAATATCATGGCTTTGTTTTTATATGCTTATGAAAAGGTAATAATATAATTTTATTTGTTTCCCTGCATTTCTGTTTATTCTATTGCAATAATTACTTTGGCAGTTATTTTTTGCTTTACAAAAGCTTCCACTTGTACTTTTAAACCAGTGGTATGTGTAGATGGACTGTCCCAACATGGTCTTTGAGGTTAGCAGGGGCAGTTTTTTAAAACAGTTGCACATAATATCTGAAAGGATAATGCTGGCAATTTTATAATTAAGATATAGTAACATAAATACTAATAAATTAAGTTTATTGCAAAATTTCTTTCAATAAAGTTAGTTAACACATGGCATCATTTGTATTTTGCTATTAAGCATGCACGAAGTCTGGTTTTTCAGGTTAGAAGTTACAGGTATGTTGCACAATGGCATAGTATACAGTTATGACATAAAGTGCTTTTTATTTCATTATAATTTCTTAATTTACCAAAAAGTACAATTGAAGTTCCAAAATTTTCATTGGTTATCATGTTTCATGTTTTAGTGTGTGTGTTTCAAATATAATTTAATTTCTGAATTATTAATTTTTATGAATGCAAAATGTGGAAGTGGCTGAAATATTGCCATTGATTTGGAAAAGGTTAAGTAATCACACTATACTTAGCATACAGTCATAACACTAATATAAGGCTATTAAACATCATTTAACACAACACATTAAAATGACAGAAAATGTATAACGGGAATTTATCTCTGGTAACCAGGGTGCTTGGTGCAAGGCTATTGTCCTACCATTTTCTAAGCCTGGGAAGGATCGAAGATCCCATCTAATTTTTGTTGAGTTGTTTTGACTAGCTGTCTCTGTAAGATCTTAAGAAATGATAGTTAATGCTCATCTTGTTTGGTTCCTTGAATCAAACAACTTCTTCTTGCCCACCCAGTGTGTGTTTCATCTACAGCACTCCACCGTGGATCACATGATTCAACTTGAAACCTCGATCAGGGAAGCCTTCCTCGAGAGAGAGAACATTTTGTCTCCATTTTCTTCGGTCTTGAGTAGGCTTACGACACTATGTGGTGGTTCGGCATTTTGCATAGCCATTTGCCCATTTTTATTCATAATTTTTTACACGACAGGCGATTCCAAGTCTGCGCTGGTTTCACCCTTTCCCCGTTCTTTCAAACAGGAGTTTAAGAGTCCCTAAGGCTGTGTCTTGAGTGTCACTCTTTTCAGTATCAAGATCAATACTATCACTAAACAACTTCCTCCTACATTTGCAAACGGCCTTTATGTTGACAACTTTCCCAATTCTTGTGGGTCATCAAATATGAGGTGTATTCAGTGGCAGCTTCAAACTGCCCTCAATTGCCTGTTGAAGGTTTTACCTTTTCTTTCTCCAAAACCATTTGCATGCACTCTTGCCACCAACATGACTTACACCCCCATCCCGATTTCGGTCTTGGTGATGATGTTGTTCCCATGGTTTCTGAAGCAAAGTTCTTGGGTCTTATCTTTGACCATAAGTTTACTCTCATTTCTTACATCAAGCAGCTATGTGTCAAGTGTACAAGAACACTGAACATCCTCTCTGTTATCTCTTCCACCTCCTGGGGAGTGGATCGATGTTCTATACTCAAGATCTGTCTTGCCCTCATTCGATCCAAAGTGGACTATGGAGCTCTGGTCTATGATTCTGCCAGGGCCTCTGCCTTGAAAATGTTGGATCCCATTCACCATCTGGGTCTATGGCTATGCATGGGGGCTTTCCACACTTCTGCAGTCCAGAGTCTACACTGAATTCCATGAACCTCCTCTTAACCTCCACTGTTTGCAGTATTCTACTAAACCTCGATCCTTACCACAGCATTCCACCTGGGGTTATATCTTCCTCCATCAGTGGGTTATGCTCTTTAAGAACATATAGTCTGCCATTCTTCCTTTTGGCCTTTGTATCCAGGTGCAGCTTGCTGAATAAGGTCTGTCATTAGATGATGTTGCTGTCTCCAATGGTCAGCCCATCCCACCATTGCGTATTACCATCCCCACCTGTGACCTTTCTTTGAGTCATCTGAGGAAGGCAGATACTCCATTTCTCTTGCACTGAATCATGTAGAAGCTATGCAGTACGCTAATTGTACCATTTACACTGACTTTCTTAGCTCTCTACTGGCCCTGGAATTGCTTAATGTTAGTTCTTACCCTGTTCTCGTCTATATTCAACAAAAGCTGGTCCATTTTTTTATATCTTTCATTACTATCCAGTTTTTCTGGATACCTGGCCACATCAGTGTTCACGAGAACAAATTCTGCTCTGGTGCCATCATGGCTGTGCCTGTCCTGTTTTCAAGGCATGGCAGGCGAATTGGAGTGAGCAATTGCATAACAAGCTTTTCCAGATCAAACCCTCTGTTGCTCTTTGGCAATCTTATTTATGTAAGGATCAAAAGGAGGAACTGGTCCTGGCTAGGCTATGCATTGGTCACAGTTTCTTAACTCGTTTTCTTTTATCTGTGACCGATCCACCAATGTGTGACCATTGTGACACTCAAGTCACAATAGCTTACGTTTTACTGTCATGCCATCATTACAACTGTGAGTGGTGGCATAATTTTAGACGGGAATTTTCTATGGGTTTACCCCTGACGTTGGACAGTGTCATTGACAATAGTGACACTGTCCAACTTGATTGTTTTTTTAATTTTTATGAGCCATTGGCCTTTCTAATTCTATCTGAGTCTTTTATCTGAATTTTGGACATTGTTTAATTTTAACTTAATTTATTTTTACATTTTATAAAATTTTACCTTCATGATTTCTACTGGTTGTATGGTGTAGCTTGCCTAGTTGCTTTGCACCAATAAATGCCACCCAACCAAACAAGCCTGACCAGTTGGTTCTGCATCCGGTGTTTCCTTCACGTATAATTCATACTGTTTTTTGCTTCATCCTCCCTGCCTTATCAGGTAACCCATAGAAATTACTGTTTATATTTAATTTATTCCTTACCATGTAAACATAGATTTTAACCCTATAGTGATAATTTGCTTCAGATTGAAGCATGTTACATAACTCTCATTAAAGTTCATTCTAGTAATAAAACCAGTGGGTAAACTTGTTTAAAACTTGACAAAAACTTTCATTAATGTAGTTTGAGAAAAATAAAACATTTTATTTTGGTGTTTTCTACTATTTCTAATAAAGATTCATTATTTAATGTAGTTATTTGCATTTAGACCCTTAAGTAGCTCACCTGCAAGGTGATTTTCATTTTGAGTATAAAAATACTATTTATTACCTTACAGTTTTCACATTTGACTTGCATAATGTCTAGAATCTCCTAAATGGATATCAACGTTTTATTAGGTAAATATTTATTTTATTTTCCATTTTCTCTACTGTATCACTAATTTCTTACTATTAACATCGGTGTACAATGCAATGAAATACTTAAAATTAAGAAATAGAAATATGTGCATACCTTTTAACTATTCATTATATAATCTTAGAATATCTTCTTTGGGCCATATGTGTAATTTGTAATTTTATGTCTTTACCTTTTCACTTTGAATATTTTTAATGTTTTATTTTCCTTTCTTATTCCTTACTGTTGATTATTTATGTCGACACATGTCAATGGGTACCCACAGTATGAACAGCAGAGATACCTTAGCATAAAAAATAAATTTACTATTTTGAAAATTGTTTAATCTCAAAGTCTAAGTTCAAGGGAGGTCCAATGCAATCTGCACTTTGATCAACGTGTGTTATTGGGTTATACTAGTTTTGTAGAATTCCACTCCTCATCATTCACTGAAAAGTATCAAACATACTGTTGGTGTGAATGTGCTTTGTAGTCACTGTGAGAAAAACCTATACACTGGATAGATGAAGTGAAGAAAAAGTGTCATTGGCCACTATTCATTTCTTCACATTATATAGCCACACAATAGCCGATATAATAATTAAACTTAATATTCCAAAAATTGCTGAAAAAAACATGACTCCACCAAATATGCTTGCAGAGTAATTGATATTTCTTGATATCCAACTGTAATGTATTGCTCATTAATTCTACTCACACAGCTGGCACAAGGACTGTAGAATCTGATGGTTGAGAGGTGGTTTCATAAGTATTCCTATTAGTTGTGTCTACTCTTTCCATGGCTGGTGTAAGCCCTTGGTATCTGATAGTAAAGGAACTGTGCATGGATACTTATCATAAGTGCCCTTTTTACACAGTTCGCCCTGACCTGGTTGGGGAGCTGAGCACATGTGGTACAGTCTAAATGTGCCCCAACCTTACTACACATATTAGCCATTCAATGGTTTGAATACCTTTCAGGCTTCTTGCCTCTTCCTATCCTTCACTCAAGTGAAGAGTATACCTGCCATAGGGTGTTGCACCCCATGGGCTTCTTTTTAGCACTCTCGAATAGAGGATCATCTAGGTAATTTCTGTACCAGTACCTCCACCATCTCAGTGTGGGGTTCTAGCAGAGTTCATATGATCCTTGAAAATACTTGAATATCCTTGTACTTTGAAATCACTTTTCAAGTCCTTGAATGTACTTGATTTTTTAGAATTATTGATTGTATCTTTGAATATACTTGAATTTTGTGAAACTGAGAATCAAACAAAAACTAAATGTATTTTTGTGCAGGTTCATTGTGTTTTATTTTTATTTTGTGTGTGTTTTTTATTTTAAAAAAAAGAACATTAGAAGTTTTAGTACTCAGTGAGTGGGTGTGTCATTTAGTAACTAATGTGAGTGGTTGCCTTTGTTTTACAACTAATACAGTGAAGCTTGCTTAATTTGAACTGCTTGGGACCAGAGAAAACGTTTGAATTAACCAAATGTTTGAGAAAATATCAAGGAAGATAGCTCCATGTGTAGTCAGTTTTTAAAAATCAAGGAAAGTATGTACATATTAAGTTATTTTTTACTCCTGGTTATGTTCCTTGTCTACAAAAATAACATCCAATCTCACAAGTCATGTATGTTAAGCAACATATGTACTAGATAAATATGTATTAAAACTTAATGTGACAAGTGTACTTCATATATTAACATAGCAGAAAGGCCACAAAGTTAAGAAAATGTGGATTTTGGTATTCCATATTTAGTGACAATAGTTGTTTTGCTATCTTTGCTTTTATCTACTTCTTCCAACTTCCTTAACTTTGTTTTGATATTAAAAGTTTTGTACTGTCTTTTTGCCATCGTTCTATCAACTTCTAAATCTGAGTTTGAACTCAAATGAATTTTAATAAAGGTAGTAAACAACAAAGTTGAAGGCCAATCAGAAAAATATAACCACTGTGCCAGTTGAAACTAACATACTTTTATCTGTACACATGCCAAATAGGTATCATTGAGTTGTGTGCAGATATTGCTTCCCACAATATGTCTAAGAATTTGGTCCAAAAAACTCTTGGTAAAAGTTACACTAATATTTCAACTTAGATTTGTAGGTATGGTTAGAGGTACTTGTTCAATTTAACAGAAGTTTGTGTTTTTTAGTGTGAATTAGGCATGTTTTTAAAACATGCAATAAAGCAGGAAAAAGTTAGAACTTTTCACTTGGTTCAAATTAACCAGAATTTCAAATAATCCTTACTTGTCTTAAGTGAACTCCACTGTACTTCCTTTTTATGAAAGGTAACTACATTGTTTCTTTTTGTGAAAATTCAGTGCAGTGCAGTCATTCAAAGTGAAATCTACTTCAGGAATCATGAGCTGCCTCCACAAACGTGGGAATTGCCATTTTAACAATGCATGACTTGATAGAAAAAATATGTGACTGGCTTAGAAAAGACAATTCTCTTCACAAAGCTTATTGCTTTCTATGCAGGAAGCACACTGATATTTCTACTATGGGCAAATCAGCATTAAACAGCAAAGCAAAAGGGGGAAAAACATTTCAAACTTATCAAGTCAAGTCAGCCTGCTATTACATTAGGTGCCTTTTTAACTCGGAAGACTTTTGCTACCAGTAATCTTGATCTAGCAACTAACTCTGAACTTGACCAATTTGAACAGTTTCTCTGCAAGTGCAACAGATGTGCTTAAAGCAGAAATTTTATGAACCCTAAAAATAATTACAAACCACTACAGTTTTCATTCATGTGAAAATATTTCTGATCTTTTCAAGCTAATGTTTCCAAACATTTCAATTTCTAAGCAGTATAGCTGTGCAGAAGGCAAAGCAGTATACCTTGGTACTTTTGGTATAGCTCCACATTTGAACAGAAAATCAAAGTAAATTCATTTATGCTATTGTTTTATAAAACCCAAAAGGAAGATCAGCAGGAAAAAATGGCTAGACATCTACATTCACTTTTTCTGTGATGATGAGGTTAAAACATTTTATTATACATATAAATTTATTGAACAAGCTAATGCAGATGGTAGATACAAAGAGATATCCAGTTCTATCACAATCTTTGACTTCAGACATCTTCTGCAACTTTCAATGGTTGGGCCTAATGTGAACGTAATATTTTTAACAGATTTTTCAAAGGAAATTGAATAGCAGACCAATTGCAATATTCTAAACATTGGGACCTGTGGACTGCATAAACTGCACAATGCCTTTCAAGCAGGATGTGTTGCAGCTGATTTGGATGTGGAAAACACAATTTCCAGTATCTACATTCTGTTGCATGATGCTCCTGCAAGACGACGGGATTTTAAAGACGTAGCTGGCTGTTTTATTTTCTTCCAAAGTTCTGCAAATACAAATTGGTATTAACTTTTGATCAATTGCCTTTTCGTACAAATTGCTATAAATTTAAATAAAATAGCAAGTCCAAAATATGTTGTTTTTTAAGTTACAATTATTTCTATAGTATATGGTATCTGTTTGTTTTCTATTTATTTATTATGCTTAGTATTGTTGTGTCAGCGAGGTCACGTGACTAGTGTCACGCCCCCTGCTTTCTGGAAATATCTTGTACCTTCGTGAATTGTAGGGAGATTACTAGATATAGGGTAGTCTGGTATATATATAAGAGGGTGACAACGTGACGACAATAATGTTTGTGTAGACAGTGAGTAATTGATCTGCAGTCAGAGAGTATTATTGAGCACGTTTGTTGTTATAGCATTTGTTTTAGCGCGATTGTTGAAATTAAGTGTATCGTAAAGTTATATTCGGAAAGAATAAACCAGTTTTATTAAGTAAGGGCTTGTGTCGCTAAAGTTTCGTCGGAACGAAGTTACGGAAAGTTAATTAACAAATGGGGAGACGTAACAGTATTTTTTAGGGAATGAGTCTGTTTATATGTTCCATGCATTGACTCCTACTGTACTGCTGTAAACTAAATATTATTAGCTTTAAAGTTAAGTATAATGTTGGCTTGAGGACAAGTCTGAGGTAAAGGGTGAAGGGAAAATGTGGTATGTATTCTACCTTTTTATTTTTTTAGTTGTGCAGATGTGTGCAGTTTTCACAAAACATGTTGGTCAAGAAGGTCGTTACGTTTCATTTGATTTAGCTATGTCATCCACCTAGAGTTGCATCTTTCGTTTTCCCATGCAAGTTAATGGTAGAGCTCTGCTAAGAATGTAACTAACCCAACAGAGTGAAAAAGAAAATAAAAACAATAAAATTATTATATTGTCGTATTAATATGCATGGTAATAAGACACTTAATTAGATAAACTGTTGTAATATAGAACCTTGAAATATTTTGTTTAAGAAGCGACCATGAACAAAAAAATATGTGGCAGTAGAATTTACTGTGCTTTGGATAAGTAAATTCTCAATTTAAGAATGGAAATTTTTAAGCTAACCGTATTAAGAAAATAATTATAAAATGGAAGGAAAGATGAAACTGTGATGACATTTATAGAAAATTATGTTCCTCTACACTGTACAAAGAGGCAAAAAAACAAACATTAATAAAATACTTGAGGTGAGAGTAACTTTACAGGTGACTATGACTTACAAAGGTTTCAGCCTTATACATAACGTTCACACTAATCCTACTTCAAAAAATATAAAGGAGTAAGAACTTTTGTAAAATCAGAATGTGTAGATAGATCAAGTTCGACACTTCAAACACATATTGTTCAAACTTTATCTGTTGAGTTTGAACAAGATGGAGCATGAAACTACATTGGAGCTAATTATAAAACCCTGTGGAATTGTTCTGATGAACACTGATCTAGTGCTATAGAGTACTTCGAGACTTCCTGGAGGTAAAGTAATTCGATTTGTCAAAAACTACTGACAACATTATTTCAAATACTTTAGTAATTTTTACTTATAACAACTAATCTTACAATTAAGTAAATTGTTGCACCTAAAATAACACATTACAAGAACTACCAGATCTGGGTGGATATGGAGGAGATAATTTAGCTAATAGGAGTAATAAACTAAAAATGTTTAACTATTGTGGGCTTTATGTAAAGTAAAAAAGTCAATTTAACGAATATCTGGAAAGAAGTAATTGAAATATTCTTTCAGTTTGAGGTTTGGTTTGTTTTTAGTTTCACAAAAACTACACGAGAGCTATCTGCACTAGCGGTCCCTAATTTAGCAGTGAAAGACTAGAAGGAAGGCAAGCTAGTCATCACCACCCACTGTCAACTCTTGGGTTACTATTTTGCCAACGACTAGTGAGAATGACCATCACATTATAATGCCCCTATGGCTGAAAGGGCGAGCATGTTTGGTGGGACAGGGATTCAAACCCGTGACACTCAGATCGTAAGTCGAACGTCTTAACCACCTGGCCATGTCAGGTCCTGGCTTGAGGTCTATGTAGACGAGAATGCTGCAAGAGACTGAGTTACGTGGCTTAGCCTGTCCTGGACATTCTGACACTAGTAGTAGAAATTACAGTGAAATAACTTTGAACACTATAATTATCCAATCCCTCCAGTGACTTTAGCGGTAAATCTAAAGGTTTATAATTCTAAAATCTGGGTTTTGATACTCGTAGTGGGCACAGCACAGATAGCACATTGTGTAGTTTTGCGATTAACAACAAGCAAACGAAGCACTGTTACTAATATGAAAACGCAAATGAAAAATCGACTCCAGTGCAAAACTTTAGGAAACCTGCTATATGTCAACTACGCTTGGAGTGGAGTGGACCGCAGGAACTTTCAGCCAACTTCTTAGATGATTCAGAAGGTCACCGCCAACATCTATAACATTCACAAGGAGCATCATTGCCTGAAAGCCTAATTTTGCAGAACAATCCTAGATAAGGTCTAAGTACTTAATCATTTTGGTATTTTCTTTATTCACTTGTACACCGTGCAATAAAGGGTAATAATGCAATGCTTATGTTCTTAAGAGAATAAGACGTAGATATGGTAATTGGGGGGGGGGGGATAGTCAACAGAAGGGTGGATTCTAAAAGGAGTGTAAAGTAATAAAAGTAGGAATATTTGGGAATAGGAGTTTGATATACAGGAGGTGGTATTAGTAGTAACTATGGTGAGACCAAAAGAAATATCTGACAACCATAACTTTTGTAGATTGGAGCCTGCTTTCAGTTTTATTGTTTTGGATTTCCAAAATGATTGACTTAAATATGCCATTAATGTATTTTCAGTAGTTTGATATTAAAACTGCATGTAACTGTATTTATCAATTGTAGTTTGTTTTGCTTTATTGTCATGGAATTAATATTTCAATACATGTAATGCAGTTTCGGATTTTAGTTCTTCGTTTAATTTACTTAGAGGGTTTAAAAAGGGGCCGACTTTGGCTACTGACATTTTGTGAAGAAGGGGAGATTTACAAATAAGAAATACTCAAATCACTTGTTGTGCTTATCAGTAATAACTACAAGAAGAACGCCAACAATTTTCTAAGAGTAAGTCTAAATTATTAAATATAATGTATTTCACATACAGGGAAACATTATTTGAACTTGGAATAAGATAAGATTGTACTTGAACTAGAACTATTAAATAACTAGAAAATAAGTTTTTTACTCTTAGAAAATGTGCCATCGGAGAATTAAATAAAATTAAATAAAACATTTTAATTATCACTTAGTGACTTTCCTATTGATATTTATTTTAATAGCATTAAACTAATACTGAAATTTTAGGTGGATAAGTGATTTGTTTTTGAAAGTACAAAGTAAAACTAATATTATTATTAAATACAATTACTCATGGATGAGGATCGTATCATAAGTTTCTTGCGTAATTTTACTTAACAAATTAGGATATTATGCTTGTGGTCAAGATGCATTTTGTTTTGTTTGTCAGCTCCGCATAATTAAGTTTTTAACAAACGTATTAAGGTCATAATTCGTTTAAGAATTAAAAGTACTTAACAACACTCTTTTAATCTCTGCCATATTCATTTAGATTTGAAGTTCAATATAACTCTTTTGTATCTATCTCTGTATGGGGTGGGGGGGTGATTCAATACTTTCATATGTGAATATCGTATAAAGGCTTTGGCATATGTTAAAATTTTATTCTTACATTATGGTTTTGATTCTTGTTAACACAGTAATAGAACGGCAATGTTAAAAATTAACTTCAGGAAAAATCTAAGTGAAAAATGATTTGAATAAATATTAAACGCATTTTCAAACACTTCAAAGTTAAAGCACATTTTAGTCATGCTTTCATTTCTTTTCACCACGATCTATCAAGAACATTTTAAAACATTATTTAAATCAGCATTAACAAATCAGCGTTAACAAAACAAAATTATATATTTGACAAACGATACGAAAGCTCCACTGCAGAGCGCATATTTATAAAAGTTGCATATTTCATATCTCCTTATGCATAAATTGTCTTAAAAACAATTTTATCATTATGATATACTTTTTTGAAACAGAATCTTGGCCACAACTCCATTGCATAAGCTATTTCCGATGTAATTCATTCGCGTGTTTCCTTGAACAAAGCGCAGATAGAACATTGTGAAGTTTTGCGTTAAAACTCGAAATATTAGCTCCTACTTTGGCGCAATAGTTTATTATTAATGGTATTTTAAATTGGCTTGATTATATGTTCTTTCATACATTGGAAAAGAAAACAACTTCAGATTTGAAATTTATTCCAGTTTAAATGTATACATAATTTTAAAAATCGCAAATTTTGATTTTGGGTTTTTCGGTGCATCTGGATTGAAATCATTGGTTTGTGCATTTCTTCATTATTTTTCTTCTGCGCACATTTATAGCTCTACAAGAGGAAAGTCATAATAGTTTGAACAAGAGCGCTGATCCTGTAATTTGTATTCAAGTGTATTTTTTATTACTTTTAGCTAATCGCTGTTTCTTAACATTTGGTTGTCATGGGTAAATGCCTATATCTCAGTTTTTGAAGTCATAGGCTGGTGATCTAAACAAGTAGTAAACTCTTCCTCATGTAAAGCTATATGGTACCAGTTCAGCTTAGATTCGCGCTTACATCTAAATAAAGAGATAAAATATTTACTTGTTAAGTCATTAGTATTAGGCCACTTATATTTTAACGTTACATTCTTCATTCAGTCCCTTTGATTTTTCAAGAAGGGTATGTAATAAAATTTCAACCGTACTATGTCCGACATATGACTTATATAAATAGTGTTCTGTTCATTAATGTGTTTGTTTTGTCCTAGCCGGCTTGATGAGCTCTGATTTGGTGAAACGAGCCGTCGACAACGGATATGGCGGACATACTATTATGTTGAAATATTATTATACGCTCTTCTTGAAAAGCGTTAAGGGACTGAATAAATAATGTACTGTTACGACAGCGGAAGTCAC